TTTTTTTTTTTTTTTTTTTTTTTTTTTTTTTTTTTATGTTGCTCCTTATTCTTCTCCTTCCATTTTCTTTTTATCTTCATCAAAACAACTCAGTTTTCTTCTATGTGTATTTTCAATGTCTATTTTGAAATCTGTGCAACACACTTCCTCTTTATATTATTGTCCCTTTTTCCCCAAAAGCCTGTCCCCTCATTTTTTGTTTCCTCTCTGAACATCCCTCATTTTGTGTTTGTTACCGACTATATTTATAACACACATTTCGTCCGACACTGTTGCTGTTGCTGTCGCCGTTGTTGCTGTTGCTGTTGCTGCTGCTGTTCGGCCAACATGTACTTGTATATATCAACAATCTTTTTCTACGCCACTATAAAAACTTCATATATTTTAAACCCCTCACTCAACCCACTCTGTTCGTCCCGTTAATTTCAACAAATCTTATAGCCTCTGCCTTCAATGAATTGTTTGCGCTCTAATGCGTTACGCGTTTCATTTTCTTTGACTCTCTAACAGACTCCTCTTTAGTCATCATCTTTTCTACATTTTGTTTTTATGACTAATTTTGTTTAACAATACAGACATTTCTGTGGTGATGTTTGATTAGCGTTGTTCGTTTAATACGAACATCTTTTATCGTCTGTTTACCCTCTTTAATTGACATATTATTTTGCCGTTTATTGCACAACTGTTTTTCGACAGCAGTACACATAGCGCCATTTTCTATGAGCATTTTTTAGATTTTCTTTGTACGTCTGCAATGACGTTTCTATTTTTTTTTAAACTATTTATTTTGCTCTATTTTTCTAACATTCTATTTACCTCTTCAAAATACATTTTCTTTGGTTTATTGACTTTTCTTAGCCGTAACGCATCTATCTCGTTCAGTGTCGATGTGTATGCGGTGTTGTACGGCTGTGTTATTACCGCGCGTCTCGTCTGCCCACTATAGCATTGCCACAATGATTTTTCGTATTTGCATTTTTCACGTTCGGGGGGTTTTATTCTGCATTTTCGCTGTTGTGATGGTCTGTTGCCATTGGTATTGCACTGAGACTGCACTGGCTGTATGTGTGTAGAGTGCCCCTAAAGCCCTCTCTCGTTCAGTACACATCTGCCACATCCATCTGCTTGTTGGTGTGTATTCGAGTGCTTGAAAATTGTATTGTTTTGGCTGTGCTCACAGCTGCCTTGCAATGCGTATATTATTTCCCCAACAGATCTACTACCCTTACCGCTTTTTCGCTTTTCTTTTTAGTTATCAAACATTTTCCTTACACTCATCTAACCATTTCTTAGGTTTCTTTCGAAAATTAAAACACTCACACTAGCGCGTTAGGGAGAAAGGGGGGAGGGGTTGAAAAAAAAAACAGAAAAAAAGTAAAAATAAAACAAGAATTTTCCCTAAGTAATCACCTCCTCTGCTGTTAGGAAGGAGCACAGTCAAAAAAGGGATTCTTTTGGTTTATCGTCGTTGTGGTTGTGTCTAATGCGTTGTTATATTTTTGCAAAACTTCATCACCATAATTCATTCATTCCCTCATCGCATCTTTTTGACTGTTATAATCTTTTCCTTAAATCTGTGTTGGTGTTTGTCGCCGTGTTTGAATTTTGCTTTTTCTTGCCACTTTCTATGGTGAGCTTCGTATGGAACAGTTTTCGACCGTCGTTATGGCTGCCACTCGGTATTTCTGTAGCGCATCAACTTCTGGCACATGCTCTGAATTGTCTTTAGCGCCTATTCCCGACGTAGCTCTTCTGGTTGTTGCTGCTTCTGCCGTTGCTTCTGTTCCTGTTGTTGCTTCTCTTGTTGCTGCCTTAGTTGTCGTTATCCTTGTTGCTACCCATTCCTTCCTCCTTGTCCGATTAGTAGTAATTTCTACTTAATTTGCTCCTGCTCCTTGCCGTTGTTAGACACATGAAATATTGTTGCGCCTGGTTCCTCGTGTCCTTTCCAAAAATTTGTGTATGCATTTAGTCTTCCCTAATATTCTCCTTTGTTTTACTTCTCTTCCTTCACCATCTTCTCTGTCGACATGCATCCTCTCTGTTTTCGAGTGAGAAAAACTAGCTTCAAATTTTTGCATCCTTCTGACTTGTTTGCATACTGTAAGCGACAGAAAAAATAAAGAAAAATAGGTTTAATTCTGTTCCGTTACTTTTGGTTTCGTTTTTCCCCCTGCTCTTTCCTGTTGCAACGTTCTTTTCCATTGGTCATCTGCACTAACTGCAGTTTTCTTCAGCATTATCACCGTTCTTCTGAAACGTCATAGTTGTTTTCTGATCTTAGTAGAACATTGTCTAAATGTTTGTTATTTCGCAGTTAAAAGCTAATGGATGTAGCACAGTTACAAAACACTGTCAGAATCTGGGCTTGTAAAGCTCTCTTTTCCTTTCATCACATTTCAAATGATTATTCGTTCGCGGAAGCCAGTTCTATAATTGACTGCTGTATCTGGTTCTGGCTTGGCGATCAGTTGGGTAGCGGTGTAATGAACAAAAAGTATTTGAAAACAAAACAAGAAAAAGGCAGTTACTGTAGTCGACTAGTCAGAGGCACGCTCGGTCATAGAACACAATAAAGGAAGAACCAGTAGGATGTCAGAGGACTTTTCCGGATGTGATTTTATGCTTATCAAGTACAAAAATTGATTTTTTATGAAATAGTTTTGAGTGGTGGGTTGGAATTTAAGGTTAAATTGAGCAATTTAAAATTGTTCATTTTGAAGACAGGTGGCAGGAAAAAAATTTTAGAATTCTTGAATTTGATTAAAAACAGCTTGTATGTAGGTGGAAATGAATTCAGAGGAAAAGGGATGTTTGCTCATGCAAAATGATTCAGTTTAATCACAGGCAAAGGTGTAAGGTGACTTATGGCAAAGCGATTGGATGATATATTTTTGAAGCCAAAATTGAACCAGTAATGGGGCAGAGGAAGGACCTTTTTTGGTGTTTAATTGTAAGCTGCTTTGAATTTGAGCGATACCGTACACCATAAAGTTTATGGCTCAGTCGTTACAGGCTTGCTGATAGGTTTTTTTGCATAGTCTTTTAACTATCCTGTTTTATTAAAATTTAAGAAACATAAGTGCATGAAATATATATTATTGTTAGTATTGTTGTTGCTGTTGTCATGATTAATATTATTATAATAATCATTATTAACATTACTTTTAATATTATTATTAATATTAATATTAATGTTAATATTGTTTTTTTCTTTTTTTAACGCTCATAATGCTCAACAATTATTTAGTACTTGAATGTGTATTAATTGTTTGTCTTTATATTTGTCACTTTTTATGAGCGGTAAATAAGTTTTTTGGAAAGCTAAAATATTTCACATTATTTGTTTCGATTTCTTTAAGAGATTGAACCAGGAAGAGAAGAAATGCAAGTAGTAGCCGATGAACTGAAACCATTGATGGGCCAAAATGTTGTCCCCGCATATTTTCAAACTGGTAATATTTCAACTGCCCCACAACAGGTTAGGGTTTTCTGAATCAGCGGAAGTGTTGGGAGAACTTGAAAATTGAAATTTTTTGCTTTTGAAAATGTTAGGAAAAACATTTTATGTAGACATAGATAATCGTTCAAATTTTTTTGGCGGAGTATTTGAGAAATTACTTTTTGACATTTGGGAGTTTGTTTTCCAAAAAGTTATCACTATTTGTATTTCTTTCCCTCATTTTTATATTATTCTCTTTTTTTTCAGCTGCAAACGTCATCAGGTCCAATGACAATCCATCCTGCAGCAACAGCTTTTTTCCAGCCCACTTCGGGAACGTCATTTCAAGCCGCAACTGGAGCTCCTGTTTTTCATAGTGCAACCACATTTATTCCTAATTCTGTAAATTTTTATTTTATATGCATAAAAATGTATATATACATTTTTTTTCGCCTTTATTTTTTATTCAAAATGAAGACACGAATTAAATTGATGAAAGGGAGAAGGAATAATGAAAATAAATAAACACGATTCATTACTCAAAAAAGGCTCACTAAATTCTTACGAAGTTTTTTTTT